AGCTCTCTGACAGAGAATGCTAAATATCTCACAAAACTACAAATCCTAAAATTCCAAAGCATTGGGCCATGGCAGTTGAAGTGGTGACAAACTACATTATTTCTGCAGTGCAGATTAGACCTAAATCTCAGCATTTAACATCTTTTTTATTCCAGCTGCACTGGTTACTGATATGTTTCCAGGCCCAATCCAAAGTATGTGTGCATCATAAATGGATCAAGTTACCTTACTTTCATCCTTGCCCATGTGCTAAGTTCTGCTTCAGATGTCTTGATCATGAACCTCTCCATTAAGCTTTCCAAAAAAGGACATTTGTTGCAGTGGCTCTACAGTTGTGAAGCTCACTTCCAGTTGTTTTACACTCAGTCCCTTCAGAACAGCCCTTTAAGAATGTCTTGAAAACATCTCTTTTCACTGTTATCTTTTCTTAATACATGGCTATTGTGGTCGTAAGTGATCTGTCTTCATAATTAGTGTAACTTACCTGAAGTACCTAATGTATCCTTCCTATGTACATTGCTTTGGGAATACTTATTCCTAAAAAATGGCCAACAAATAATGTTGACTAATTTTTTAAAAAGTTATGGATAGTTCTGTGCTACTAGCAATATTCACAACATTTTGTAGTATTTACAGCAAAAGGATGTTTGAAGAAGAATGAGGTGTTACCTATTTAAGTAGAATACACCTGAGCTGTTCTCTAAGCTATTCCTTGCATTTCTTTTGGGAGGTATAACTTGACCTGGATATTGAGAATTGCTGCTTTTGCAAGTTCTGAATGTAGATTTTATGTTGCTGAGTCTATTCCTTGCTTTCTTTCTTGAATCATACCTTGGGGACAAACTTCAAGGTGAAACCTATTTAAATAAGAGTAATTGTTCCAGTTAATATATCCACAGTTGGGCAATCTTTACATTTGAAGCTGAAGTTTTTACCGATGCTCTTGTAGCTTTAAAATGCTTGTTCTTGGCTGTGTGAGCTCAGAGTATTAAATAGCTCAGCTGGTAAAAGCTCTCAGTTATTGGTATTGAGAAGAGGGAACGATTTAAACAAAATAAATACAAGAGGATCTTTGCAGTGCTTTTCACTAGTTGCCAAATTTCAAATAAACAAAGCAAGGGAATTGTTGTTCACAGAGCTCATTCTATTCTTGTTCTTTCAGAGAGGGGCTCTCAATAAATACACCCCAGTCTATCTTTGGTTTATGTCCCCTCTTGTGTAACTACTTAAACCAGGTACAAAAGAGCAGGTATTTCTGCTTTTGATAAT